CGACGGGTGAGGGCGTGCCCGTTTCGGAGGTGGATGCAAAACGCAACAGTGAGAGAGAGAGAGAGAGAGAGAGAAAGAGACAGAGAAAGAGAAAGATACAGAGAGAGAGAGAGAGATAATAACATAAAATACATGAAATACAGAAAAACGTTAACAACAGAAAGAGGAAAGGAAGGGAAGGGAAAGGAAGGAAGAAAGAAATAAATTAACAAAAAAATACAAAAAACTCAAAATAGAATAATAAAGATAAGTAAATCGAGAAAGAGGGAGAACGGAGAACGCATGCATGATGAGTGTTTTCGTTGACAACATGCGAGTGGAACATTCCTGTCGCTGGATGTCGCCGGCCCATTCCTCGGCCATTCAGAACCTCGATGACCTGGATTGAAGGAGGTATCCTATCCCAGAACATGCGTGGGAATGGAATATCATTATGAAGTATGCCTGGACCCCAAGTCAACCACCCCAATGTAAGTTTATAAATAGAATTAAATAGACCATTCCCCTGGATGGTTTGGGTAATATATCCAAATATATATATATATATAGTACTATAGCCGCAGCTACGGCATAAGGGCGAGGGCATGCACGGGCACACGGCTCGTGGGAATGATGGCATTTGCTTCCACCGTAGCCTTGTGCGTGGGCCTTTCCCGCCCCACCCGAGCATTCGTCAGGGCTTCAAAAAGGAAGATGCTGAGTTTGGGATCAAAGTGGCATCCCTGTGGGGAGGGGAAGCTGGGGAACCTGTTGTTGACGGAAGAAATCCTGAAGCCTTTTTAAGCCCATGTCCCCAGGGACCTAGGACTTCTAACCCCTAGATCTTTGCATCCACAACCTGGACCCCCGAAACAACCAGAAACTCCTGATTGTTCCAATATGGCTTCGACGCAAGTGGGGACTGGGGAGTTCCCATGTTTTTCTGGTTGGAACTGGGAATCGCAGGAAGCACCATGCAAGGTCTGGGCGTCCCCAAGGTCCGAGCCATCCACCGAGCCTCTCCCCCCAGGAGGATCGACCACATGTGCCTACCCTGTTTATGGGCTCATGTATGTTCTCTTCAGGCTTACCTGGAGGTTTTTTTCTAGTCATATAAGCCTGACTTTGAATCATTTTTGAACCACCAACCAAAAGTGGATGTGACAGGGGCACCACTGTCCTCCAATGGTGCGGCATCCCTTAATCACTGCCTGGTGGGTTGGTCGACCCCGGGCCTCTTCCAAGCCTCTTAGATCTCTTAGCTTTGCTCGGTACACCACCCTTCGGACGACCAGACCTCGCTCCCTCACCGCCCCCCCCAAAGGTGCACATCGCACGGATGGACGGCGGCGGGGCCATGAGCTCGGACGTCCAAGTCCATCGCGCCGGGCGCTGCGATGGCGCGCGGCGCGGTAGGAAACGGGGTCCTGAAGAGTTTCGGGGGTTTAGATTGGCTGATGTCATCGTGCAGACCTATCCATGCGACGAGTCCCGAGACATGCGACTCGACCCTGAGAGATTCCTGGAGACCAGGACCAAGCTAGTATGATCTTGGTGAGTCGTCTTCCATTGCATTCTTTGGGGGCACTGAATGCGTTGCCGCGTGTTCATCGAAGTCCATGGTCAAACCTGACCAACTGGAGGGTGAAGATATACAGGCCCTGAACCAAGGCGAGGACGCCAGACGAACTATAAACCAGGCTTTGGGTCAACTTTTCCTATGACGCCAGCGACAGCCAGGGCGAACTAGGATCCAACTTAACTAGAAGCATGTGCCTGCCATAGACAAGTAATGAAAAGGTATGCCATGGTTTGCCATGGATTGGGTGTAGCTGATTTAGAGAAGGATAGGTCCACGGGGAATCCTGCACCCAGCAACACAACAGACACTTGTTGGATTTTTATCCAAAACAACATATATAACTTGTTCTATTTGGCAGGTGGACAACTATTAACCCTAAACAAGAACTTTAACTTGGGACTATACACGCTCCAAAGTGCAGCAGTTTTGATCCTTTAGAGGAAGTGGACTCATGCCTACAACCAACCATAAAAATGTGGACTGTTCGCATCAAGGGGTCAGATATGGTCAGATGGTAGGTTTTGCTGAATCCAAATTCTGATTTGAAGATGTATCAGGTTCAGGCTTCTGACTTAGGATTGTTGGTGGGGCTTCAGCACTGTGCGGGTCCTCCACCACACGCTCCACATCCGCCTGTTTTGACAAGCTCGGTGCCGTTCAAAAAGCTCGTGTGAGCTGCTGGATGAGCAGGCAAACAGCTTGGATGAAACATTTCAGTGCAATTGCTTTCTTTCGAGAATTCCTTATTTAAATCCACGCACATGCTGACGTTACATCACTGGCAGAAATCCGGTTTCTGAACTAAAGGAACCTCATTTTTCGTTGCCTTGAACCGACTTCGCTTTCTATCTTTCAGCCACAGACACACACACAACCAAAAATTGACCGCTATTAAACGTGAGGTGCAAGAAAAACTCTTCACGCTTGCTTGAGATTTCCGCTTCCGAAGTAGTCGACCCTCACTTTGCGGTCCCGACACGCGCACGACGTGCCGCACCAACGGTCGCAGCCGGATGCAGCCTGAGAGTCACCTCACCTGGGGCGGAGCGGTGCTGCCGGAGATCCAGTCCTGGAGTCCCCGCGTTCGTCAGGCGCCGCGTTTAGGGTGAAGGAGAAAAACAAACGTTCATGCGTTTATGATGTATTGACTGTATTGATTATTTTTACTTAGATGTGTTGATTTTTCTTTACCATGTTTTATGCTTGTTGTTTTGTGTTTACAGGGCGTAGACTCTATAGACTGTTCTGGTTTTTAGGTTTGGACTGGAGGGAGGGAAGGTCCGCTTGGATTCTTGCGGTCGGGTGCCTCGGTGCAAAAGCGATGTTCGGCGAGAAGGGTGGTGGAGAATGGCCGTGAGTCTTTTTAGAAACTTTGACCAAAAAAGGGTAGAAGAACGCTCACATCTGACAAGCCCACCTAAGATACCTATGAGACAAATGTGGTTTTGGTTCATTTCTCATTTGGGTCTTGGATGGTTTGGAGATCTCAACATATCTCACCTAATCGCTACGCTTCACAGTTGAAGTTTAGACATCGCATTCGGATATCTAGGGTGAGACTTGCCAACCTGCTCTTGGTTGGTCTTGGTTGGTCCGGGGTGGGGAATGGGTTCTTGGGGCCATTTCGAGACCGTGGAGAAGGGACACCAAGACCATCCAGGAACCTTTAGTTGAAGGGTCTCATCAATGGTTCTTCACCATTGTCGGCCCTTTTAGCTGGACCCGACTGACCTGCCTTGGAAAATGGGACATGACCGAAACTTGAAACATGTACCATGTTCCAATGTTCCAAGGGACTTTGAGAGTCCAGGTTCTTGCTAGCTTCGAAATAGCCACAAGCTGCTAGACCAGCGCCTCATCCAGACCTCGTGTTTGGTCCAGTCCATTGGAGAGATTCCTTTGGTGAGTCTGTGACTTGGCACGAGCTGAAGATCTGCAGGTGGCCTTAGAACGCTACTATTTGCCCAAGTTGATTGAGGAGGGCTACGCGTTCGGGCCTCCCAAGGGGGCTATGGAGACATATACTACAAGACCCTGGAACACAGAGGTGGAAGGCCAGTTGAAAGGGACAGGCGGTCAAAGTCTCGGTCCGAGGGGTCCCAAAACACTCAGAATGAACAGCGAAGGGGGAAAGTGGTTGGCTTCTGAACAGGGGCCCCTAGAAAAGTATCGAGAGAGCTGTTCGCAAGGAAGATCCTTACGTCCCAGCCCATTTGGGCAGGTATTTGCGATACAAAGCTTTTCCATGCTCGCAGCTACATAGATCTACATATGTATAATAATGACGGGGCAAATTCAGGCGAGCTCACCTGACGAAGAACGAGCTAGAATATGTTCAAAACGAAAATAAGCGAGGTAAGTCCAGCACCAGCAAATAGCAGCACCAGCAAGAAGGGTTTGCGGCTTGGAGAGGCTACTGCTGGGTGTAGTTTCCACAAACTACAGGGATTCCACACCCGCCATGCCAGACTAGGAATCCCAAAAAGTAAAAAAACAACCTGTGATGTTAAAGAAATAGGACCGATTTTGTGCGGATTTTGTGCCAAGCATGTTTGAAGGGTTTGGGCTTGGATGGCCACTGCTGGGTGTAGTTTCCACAAGCCACAGGGATTCCACCCACCATGCCAGGCAACCTATTTTTAAGAAATAGACCCGATTTTGTGGTGGGGCTGGTGGGGCAGGAGAGGTATAGCTCCACAACTTACAGGAAGGCCACCCAATGCCAGGGGCAAAACCTCTCTCCAAGAGCCTGCAGCCCCCCCAACGAGGTGACTGAAATCTTTGAAACTAAACGAGGCGATGTGAAGAATTTCAAACCAATGACATGTCCTGTTTAGACGAAGTAACCCCGGTGAACAAAATGACTGAAACTCATTGAACTCACCCAGAACTCCACAACATCACTTCAGCCCCAAGGGGCTGGACTCTTTGGGATTCAACGTAAACTGAGACGGGCTCCGTCCGCTGGCTCCGTCCGCTGTCGGAGTCACGTCCCCGGTTGTTAGAGCTCAGACTTGGTGAACACCGGGCAGACCGGGGTTAAGGGAGTCTGTGCAGACCGGTGATGGGTGACGATGGTGGTTGTGCTCAGACCGGTCATGGGTGTTTCTTCGTTTGGAAGTTCTTTCTTGGTGACACGGTCAACTGAGCTGGGGTCTTCCAGTGACTGGATCTGGATCCCGTGAGACACAAACACATGGATTCACTTCGCTTGAACGACACGTAGACGGCAGTGTTCCGGTTTACATGCCATCCGAATGTGGTTGGTTGATGGAGGGCTTTTGAATTCGAGACCGCCAATCTTAGATGGCGCATTTGCCCAATTGGGGCTGGACCCTCCAATCGGTTTGGAACCCAACGCCAAGACACAAGGTTCACCTACCAGCTTTGCCAAATTATATCTATTGGATTGTTGTCCAGTTCTTCCATCGCCGCAGCCATGACTTTCAATGCGAAAGCCTCTTGTTTGCCCAACTCACGTGCTGTCTCCATGTTGCGGCGGGCGTGGCTGATGGCTTCCCTGATGTGGATGGCTGTCGCACCCAAGTTCGCCTTGGCATACAGAGTCCATGAAGAGGAAGAGTTGACTGAATTGACCCTTGGCTTCCCAAACTGTGAGCGACTTTTTCACGTGTCGGTACATGCTTTTCTTCCGTGTGAGGAAGATCATTGGTTCGATCGTGATGCGATTCCACAAACTCCGTTTCTATCTGCCAGGGCCCGCAAGGGGTGCCTATTAATAGCCTTCGGTTCTAGGGAATCTGCATTAATTTGCCTTGTCCCACCGCTGTTCAAGGGTCACTGCCATATATGTTGTTCATAGGGTATCGCTTCACTAAAGGTTTAACATGAGAACCAGCAAGAACCCTACACAAACCCTACAGGAAACAATGAAAATCCCAAGTAAAACACAACACTTTGGACACAACCTTTCGCTAAAGCTTAGCTCTGGATAGTAAACGTCAATGCCTTCAAAATGATATGGCTTTCCCACTTTGGGCACAACCTTCCACTAAAGAAACCTTCCACTGGCTTTCCCATTTTTTGGATGGCACTAGCCTATGGATAGTACATGCCATTGCCTTCCCATGTCATTCCCACTTTTGCCTGTGCTTTTTTCCACACGTGTCCATAATTTGCATGGTTCTTATCCATCCTTTCCACTCTAATTGATGCCACTATTTTCAACTTTGGGTCACCACTGTGATGGCTTTCCCACCAGGACCTGAAGGCACCTGACCTTCTCCAACAGAAACCTGAACATTTGAACATTTCCCACAAAAAAAACTGAACTTCTCCCACAAAAGCGTGAACTGTTCCCACTTTCGGGATAGCCTCAATACAAAAAAACAGTTACCAAACATAAGACATATCTAACTAGTTCGGACATTATGTCCTGTTTGAAACATGTTTCTAGGAGCTTACATACAGTTTTGAAAAGGTTATGAAGACTTTGCCACTTTGGGTGCACCCCTCAATCACGTCCAGGCAATGTGAGGGCCTTGCCCCCCCAAGTCAAGTCAAGCCTGACAAAATCCCATGGAAATACCAACTCTTTCCCATGCATTTGCCCAAATTCGATGGGGATTTTGTAGGATGTAGTCAGGTTTTTACAGGTTTCCAACATAGTGAAGAAGTGCTTTGTGAACAACCTCCAAGTGGGATTTGTATATTCAAAATGCTCAATCCAATGGCTTGCCCTCGCTTGACCCACATCCAGTTGATTGAGTCAGCTGAGGACACCGGGAAAGAAGTGGTATGTCGAGGAATCAGAAGTGACCAAGGAGAAGCTCTTTGAAGACCTCGGCTGCTATTGCAAGAAGGCCATCCGATATCGATCTTTTGTTGGTCATCCACATGTTGCATCTGAATGTTTCATGAACTGTTGTTACACGTGCAGAGTTTTTAGTCTCAGCAGTAATCCGCAAGCTTTCAGGTCCATGATCCTTGTCCTAGCGAGCCTCGGTTCTGGGGGTGTTTGTCGGTTGAAGCACCTGCTTGGTGGGGTTTGGCTGGACAGCAGAATGGATCCAGAAAATTGAGGCCCTTTGGTCACACATTCTCAGAAAATTCCCAAGCATTTTCGATGAGTCTCTCTCTCTCTCTATCATTCTCTCTTTCTATATATATTGGAGCCCTGATAAGAAACTTGCGTTCGGTCATTTGTGAGTTAGTCTTACTCGTGTTTTCTCGAATTGTGAAAGGTCATATAATATAACGTTATAGCATTGTTTTTCACACCACCAGTGTTTGACTTGCATTTTCGATTCCAAGAAGTTGGAACGGCCATGGATCTTCGGATGATGCCATTGGCATTGTTTGGCCAGCTGGACCTTTCAGGCAGAATAAGCCTAGCTGATCCAGTCCCAACGGGTTTGGGTCTGTCCCGTCCCATTCCCACTCACCATGTGAAGACAGGCGCTCTTCCACAGGGATCGAGTATTGGAGCGCCGGGAGTCGTCACGTCCCCAGGTCGCGAGTCTTCAAGAAGTTCACGAGTATCACGGGGAAGAGTTGCCTAATGTATCCTGTATGTATACCCCCTAGGGCTCCAACCATATCCTCAGAAGGTGGTTAGACCCCCTGGCACCCACCCCAACCATCTTCTCAGGAGGTGGGCCAGGAGGTGTAGGGACCTATTAGGTCAAATCCGAGTCCACTCCGTCCCCACTTGAGTCCAGTCCGTCCCCACTTGAAGAAGAAGTTAGCTATCATTAGGGTCAGAAAAATCTCAGACACCATCAATGAGGTAATACCTAGACAGCCCAGACACCCCATTTCGGGTGGGTGTTGGGAGTCTAAGGCCGCCGAGCTAGCCACCAATTGACACCACTGAGAAAGCGTGAGTGTCCTGGTATACATCGGGGTCAATGTATAAATCTTCCAGTCCCGTGGATGCTTTGGAGTCGTTTCTTCCACCTTTTGAACATCCGCCTTCGAGCTGCTAGCGCCGAACCACGACCGCCAGGTGCGCTCTGTGGCTGAGTGCCCCAGCAGCAAGGAGGGCAAGCGCTCCGATCAGCCAGAGCGCAGCCGCTGGTTCCACGGGGAGGCCCGGCGCGGAAGTCTCGGGCGGTGTGCATGTTCGAGCAACATCGTGTGCAGCCATTTGAATAGGTCAAACATGTTCAAACTGTCACAGTTCGTGCGTGTCGGCGCACAAGGGCCACTGTGAAAATGCTTGTCATATTGAGATGGGTGGTGCCGGTTTCCGTCACACAAGGGCCACTCAAAAAAGTTTCAGAGCGTCAGAGGTACACTTAGGGTGTTGCTTATGAAAACATTGGATTTCAGGAATTCAATGCCCTATGGAAAACTCATCCCTGTGCAATCCTCGATATTCTACGATCATGTTCGAACCTTTTCTGAGTCAATTTCGATGTGTGGGCAGGAGTTTAAAGTTACTATATTTATACCTTATACAATGTTAACATCCCAGTAATGAACCATGAGACAATAGTAATCAGCTTTTTAGCCGCAATACTACTTTTAATTGCGACGACATCCAGCTCCCATGAGATGTCCAAAAACTTTAGCTAGCCAAAAGCTTTAGGTGTCCTTATTCAAACCCTTGCAAACAAACACACAAAATATCTTCAAAGGGTATCCCTTTAGACTACCACCCCCTGCAATTATAAACACACCTACAATAATCAACCCCCCTCCAGACCTGCTGGCTTGTCCCTGCCTTGTGCTTACCCTGTTACTTTCAAGTTCTGAGTGACCTGGAGGATTTGTTTTAAGGTTGAGAGTTTTGACTACTGTACCTCGAAAAAAGAACCCGATTTTTTTCATAGGGGGCGGGGGGGTTACTAATGCGATGTTAACAGTATATATATATATATATGTCTTTATTGTTGTTTACCCTTTTTTGAAAAACAACATCTAACTAAGAGGAATGTCCTGCGTTTGTGATCAACAAGGGTGATGAGTGGTTGAGTGATGATAACTCGCGTGATGATGTTTGATGTGACGGTAAGTAGGATGTGATTCAATGCAACAGGCTTTGTTGTGAGGTGAAGTGTCGCGCTTAGTTTCAGTGACCTCCACACTCACTTAACTGCCAGGTAGATGATGACTATAGCCTACACGGCAGGAATTGTATTTACATGTATTTACACGTTTGAATTCGGTGCAAATGGATCTCCTTGCGTCCTTGCGACACATTTCACCAGGGATGGTTTGCGCGGAGAGACCCACATGACAGGCGCACTCCCTCTGGTGGTGAATGAACCCCAGGCATACCAAAGGTCACACGAGACAGTCTGCAAGACAGTTCTTTCTTGGAGGCTCGGTCCCCCAAACACGTACAGTTTTTTTTGAGCATGATAGTTTTAGATTTTCGCGGTCTATGATATATTCCCCATCTTTTCGGATCTGGCCTATAATATTCAATGTTTTTTATCCATGCGAAATCACAGGTTCTTCAGTTTCCCCGTGCACCACTGAGGTGGCAACTGGTGAGAAGAGACCACATCTTTGCTGCAAGTTGGCATGGAGTGCGTGGTACAATCGTGTCTTCCAGCTTTGCACCGAGGAGCTAAGGCCTTTGGAATCCGATGTGTGCTGTCGAGTCGGAGAGGAGGAGCAAAAAGTGGGGGTGCACATCAAGCAAGCAAAAGGCCTCGGGTCGCTTGGCGCTGGTGTTGAACATGTTTAGACCTTTTTTTTTTAAACATATTCTTCTCTCCAGGTGCTTGGACCAGCGTGATTTGATGTGACCAATGGAAAAGCATTGCAAGCGTTGAGGTTCCAGAAGGTGGGGATACGTGAGTGGCATGCAAAGCTCTTTGGCAAGAGCCGCCCTATCTTCAAGCTGAGCGACGTCACAGGCGCATTCGTGAAACGCTGGGCGCTCTGTGTCAGTCGTTCTGTGGCAGCTGCGCAGCGAACGGTTGAACGCCAAGCGCGCAGGTGTCACCATGAAAGCTGGCATTCCCAAGGAGCACGACTTTCTGAGCTTAAGCAGACATGTCTAAACTTCTCTGGATCCCATCCATGGCTCCGGCCTCTTATGAGGCATGGGGCTGTTTCCTCTAAGGACGGAAGAAGAGTTCAGAAGGGCCAATGTCTTTGAAAACAGCCACATCCACAGCTACCATGGATGTAGTTAAATGATGATAGGCGGATCTAATCAATTGGACTCTCTGGTATTTTTGCCCACCTGCATTCCAACACGATATGATCAAAGGTTGATGCTTCAGAAGGACATATGACATATGACATATGCAACGTGGCAACCCTTTTGAGTGTCTCACAGGGTTCATCCAGGATGTTCCAGTTGCAGGAGATACAAACCATGTTGCGAACTTCGGTCCGAGTCGATGTCGCCATACCCCCGGACACACCTCGTTTTCTGTATGATCGGTTTCCGGGCCGGGGTTGCAGCCATCGGGTGCACCAGGTGCATGGGTGCGAGGTACCAGCCATCGACGGGTTGCATTCGGACTCATCAACTAGACACTTCCGCTGGCCACACGTCCAGCGGAATGCTGGCAGTGCGCGGGGGTTTTAGAGCGCGGGTGGAGGTTTTGGGTTCATTGAGTTCCGAGTTGCATTCACATGCATTAAGAGCTTTAGAGTCGATCCGTCCATCAGTCGATCACCAGATTAAAGAGAACACACACCTTCGATCCTCACCCGCCCGGTGGGACGTGGGTGTGGAGGTGGAACGGACTACGATGGGTCACCAGTGAGTGCTCCTATTGTGCAGCACTTTCTGGAGAAGAGGCTCCAAGCTGGTCTCCTACAAGTGGCCTCAGGACGATAATCGATCGAATCGACAAAGGAGAGGTGGTGCCTACATCGACACCAAATTGGAAGTGGAATCCATTCCCGGACCATCCATGGTACTAGAATACGTGCCTACCTTGACCCCTTTCAATCAACCAGAACTGAATCGGTAGGTAGGCCGGTCCCGGACAGGTGGTTCCCACCAAGACCGAGGAACATCGAGGATCTTCATCTTCTCTCCGTTTTGGGAGCCCAATGAGTCCAATTGTGTTGCGGGAGAGCTGGCCAAGGGCTCATTCCAAAAGCTTGGGTGTTTGCCTCCATGTTCTTCCAGAAGATCTCTCTCCATTCTTTTCGCACCAAACGGATCAAACATCAAGGAACCAGACTGATAAATGCTTGGGTTTTGACCTTTGACTCGTTGGACGTCGTAGGTCGTAGGTATATACTTTGACATAGTGCTTTGACATGCTTCTCTGTGCCATCGCTATCGAGTATGCGGAGTATGGATCGCCCAGCCATGCAGAGCCGCTGGCACCGTTGGAAAAGCGGCCCCATACTGGCCAGCTCACCGGCCCGATGTTACAGGGAGCCATCCCCGATCATTCTCTATGCAAAATCGCGAGGCTCAGGGAACATGGTCTCAAGGAAGAGGGTCTTTTTCAAGGAAGTGAGTCTTCCACTGCCTTTGAAGGGAGCCCGTCCCCTCGCAGGTGGATCAGCCCATGGTTTCGACCGTCCCTGGAACGTCCGCAGATGCCCACAAGCTTTCCGCTTGGACCCTCTCAGGAGTCGATGGAGCCGATGCCGTGCCAGGGGAAGATACTGCTTTGCTGTGTTCTCAGCATTTCCAGGACTACGAGATGTCCAGATTGATGTGTGCCCTTCCAACTCGAGGGTGTAGAGAAACGCAGGTGTTTTTCTTGATAGCAGCTTACTAAGTCTTCGGGAGTTGAGCCAGCAGTTACACTCTCCGAAATCATGGAAGCGGAGTTCACCATTTGTTTGGAGAGAAAACACGCTCTTTCCAGGGACCAGGCCATCTACGTAACCCTGATTGGTTTCAGGGGGTGTCGGCTAATTATGTCTCCCGGCAGTTTCCTCCACCTTTATGCACATGTGTGCACTCTTCACAGACGAGTGGCTGAGTTTCAGAGGACTTGGATCAAGGCGATTGCCGTTTGCGCACCCAACGCCCCGATGAATGCTGCTGTCTCGAGGTGATTTGACGAATTGCCGCGGGTCAGGCCGACAGTTGGGAGGCCCCCAAGGCTAATCAACGCCACTGGGAGTGTGAAAGAGCTACGGAGCTCGAACGAAGGTTGTTGAATTAGTTCGGCCAAAAGCCAACGAGGGCATTGTCTCAGATTCACTCACTTTGGGACTTTCTGGTGGAGGATGAAGAATAGCAAGCTATATTTGCCATATGCATCCAATTACATCCATATATACAAGATGCACCTGGGTTTAGGGCTGCTGTGTCTGCTTTTGTGCCATCCCATCCATTTGAGATTACAGTATATTGATTATATTAAACTATTAATTAATATATACCAGGGGCCCCACAAACCATCAAAAACCTGGTTTTCCCCAGAACAAAAACTGGTTTTGGTATGTGAAAACCTCTCTTTTTCATGGTTTTGAGGGCCCCTGGTATATATATATATATATATATACTGTATATACTTGCAAAGTTGTGGTTGCTCGGAGCTTGAGAGTCTTGTAGAGGTTTTTCCATGAACCATTGGAACGATCTAAATAACTAATTCCCTGGCATGCCAGGCCACCGTCCAAGAAGCCCGGCGCTGTTTGCCCGTCCCCAGCGGTGCGTCGTCCTTTGTGGGGCCGCTGCTGGTGAATGGCACGTACACGGAGACCAAGCTACATGACTTGGATGCGGGGAGCATCGCATGGCCTTCCAGTCCAGAGGAGATGGATAAGGACGCATGCCCAGCAAGTGATGACACCATATGATACCTAGACTTCCTTTCACCATTGATTTACTGTAATGTAATAGCCTTTAACCACCCTTTTACTGAAGCACCATTGTTTGACTGAGCATGTTACACTACAAGACCAGCTCAACCATGTTTTTTGTTAGATGGTCTTGGAAGGCTAGGGTAGGCTAGGCTAGGGATATCATATCTTCATGGGGTCGGCGTGCAAAAACTGATCGTTTGGGGTGGAACCCAACGCAGGTCAATGCAAAGCAGGTTTGAACCCAAAAGAATGTCAGGATCTTTGTGGATGGCAGAATCCATAGTGATTGGAGGGAGGATAACTCATCATCTCGGGTGGCCTGATGGGGTGACTGGGGGCTTCTGTGAGGGTTGCATAATCGGTTAATCTGTAGAATGCCGTATTGTAGATCTACTTCTCAGCACCTTCCCCATCCTTCTTGATCACACAAAGGCCTCAAAATAGGGTTTTGACCACAAGTTCGTTAGAACAGCCAGCATGCGACCTGGAAGATATAGACAACGGCAAATTACCGTAGAGATGTGTGTGTGTGACAGGGTATTGGCGTACGCCTTCTATTTGTTTTGTTGCAAAGATGTGAAATCTACTTCTGCCATCCTTGCTTGCATCCTGAGGCTGCAAAGTGCCTTCTCTCTACAGCCTTATAGTCATGGGTCGAGTCATTCAACAACGTCTCCGCCATTTTTGGGACCGGGGTCGATTCCAACAGTTCTGGGGTTTCAATGGCGCTTTGGCCCCATTTGGCCGGCACTCCCCAAATCGAGCTGCTAGTTCGGCGGCTCCATCCAGCCGAAACACCAGGAGCTGCCGGAGAAAGTGATCTCCAAGGACCCGAAGGCGCCCGAGCAGATCGAATATGATTGGGCACCAGGCCGGCGGCCAGCGGAGACGCGCCGCAGTTCTGAAGGTGAAGAAGCCAAGACCCCATGTGGTATAGACCAAAGGGAGCAATTGATACGATGCCAAGCCGAATCGACTTGGTTTCCTGTGAAGTGATTTATGTGACAAGATTGGTTGCGGGTGTTCATGCACAGACGCTCCGTCAAGGTGTGGATTTGACACAAGATTACCTAAACAGCTTGCGCAGAAGAGTTGACGCCCAGCTCATCACTGGTGTTTATGTGTTTTTGTTCACGGCCTAGGTGGCTATCAGTGGGAAGCCAAATGCCTGGGCAACCAGACGGTGAGTTACGTCACATCGGAGAAGAAGAGCAAACGGGTGCGCAGTGGAACCAGCTTCCGGCACATCGGGCAGGTCACGCAATCAGTGCCAGTCTATACAACGAAGCGCTGGACAGAATACAATCAGGAGCACCGGACTCCTGTGGGTCAAGTTAACTGGATGTGGTTCTCAAGTGGGAGCAGTTTGGAAGGATGTGTGGTTCTCACGTGGGAGCATCAAACTGAATCACTAAGAGGGCCTGGGTGGAAGTGATCCGCTCCAACTCTCGGCCTTTGAGGGCCCGATTCGGAACAAACCACGCAGGCAGCTTGGAGATCCTCGCTTGGAGACGGCTCGTTTTGACAATGGACTTGGGAATCACTGCGAGTTTCAAACAGGGTGGAGGATAATAAAAGCTGTGCGGCTCATGCCTATATATATATATGGCCTATGAGAGAACTTGGGGTTTCACACGATTGATTCCAAAAAAACGACGGATGTGAAATTGACACCAGCACAGGAGCACAAAGAGGAGTGCATCTCTTACGAGTACACTCGCATTTGTCCGGCAAATCTTGGCCTCTATGTGAAACAATACCCGCCCGGGATTTGTACCAAGGTGCCAGGCAGGGATTTTTTCAAAGCTGCTGTTCACAAGCTTAAACCTTGATCCACCCTGCGGATTGATAGATTGACGGATTGGACTGTTGTTATTGGTTGGCTAGTCCCCCAGCCCGATACCTAGAGCTTCAAAACAGGCTTAAAACGATCCTGTTCCCAAATATCAGCCTTTGAACGTTTTGGGCAGAAAAACACATGCTATTGTGGGCGGTTTCTTTAGTTTCAGCTATTTCAAGGTCACACGGTCACAAGGATGGATGGGGATGCTGTGTTCAAAGCCATTACATTTCGACATGTGTCGTCATGTGCAAGTTTTGTGTTTTCGGAAAAGGCGTTGCGAATTGCTGGGGCAAAAAGGAACACCACTTTTCACATTGGTTCGAATCAAGTTGTTGTGCATTTGGCATTCATGTTTTGGGCATTTGGAATGTACTATGTTACTATGTTGAGCCAAACCGTCAAAATCAAAAAGGCGTAAAAACAAGCAAAAGGTGCTTCTCCGCGAAAAAGGCAGAACATTAAGTCTTGTCAGACTCGGGCTGAAATAAACTCATTGGGAAGATCAACCTAGGTATGAGAGACATACCGCCGTGCTGTTTGCCGAATCATTTGCGGAAGATACACATTCGGCAGACATGTTGGACACCGACGACGAAGAAGATGATGATGACGATGATGATCATGATGAGGATGACGATGATGAGGATGACGATGAGGAGGATGACGATGACGATGATGATTAGAATCGTTTGAAGTCGAAGATCAGGTCGTTGCTGCTCCTCGCAGCATCCCTCATCTTGAAAACTCCCCCGGCCTTTGGATACCCAACCCCGCCAGGTAAGTCCAATGATGACCAGTTGCAATTGATGGACCTCGGGGCCCTGACCTATCAGTGCCCGGAAGGCTATCAGAGCGGCACGGAGGGTGGCATGAAATTCGATCCCCACTGCAGCTGCACCTCCGACGAGGAGGAGGGCAGCAAGACATCCTGCACCTAGGGGAGCACCCCACTGAAAGCTAACATAGATCGTGAAAACCACTGGTGCAGCTAGAGGAAAGCGGTGTTTGAGGGTGCTATTCTCTCGTGGTCCATGTGAGTCAGAGACAAAGCTATCGTCATGTAGTTGTAACTGGGGTGTTGCACGCAGCTAGTGTTTTAATGTGTTCCTCGAAAAATGATACCTCTAAAACTTGCATTGCTGCACACCAGGGATCTACTCAGCTTGACCTTGATCGGGCGCGTTTAGCGGCTTCTGCGGTCCCAAAGCGGAACTGCGGAGATAGCCCGTCCTGGCCACCTGCCATGGCGGGTAATTTGTCAGGCAAAGGAAAAAGGCCACAAGTGACCTGATCGGGAGGGTCGATCTGGAATCTTTAGACCCATGGAGGGCATATATACCCTACAAGACCAGTTTGACCCAGTAAAACTTGACATTCTTGAGTAGCGCTTTTGCACCAACTCCAGTATAATGAGGTCATTGACCTGTAGGGGCATCATCATAAATTAGATATGTGTGGCAAATGTGGGGTGCAAACATGACGAGCCTTTTGGACCAACGTGGGGGTACCGTCCGCACCAGCATGCCGTCTTGAGGGGGGTGTACCATGTATATATATATATACACATATATATATACACATTTGGGCCCGTGACCCTTTGATGCAGGTAACTTCTCCATGGACCCTTTGGGCATAGGGCATGTGCATTTCGACATACTTCAACCATTTTGTCGGAAGTTTTTGAGGGACAACAGGGAGAACTTGGGAAAAACAAGATGATTTGCAAACCTTTTGTGCCGGGATCAGCCATACAGTTTTTTTCACACTTTTCCTGTAAGGCCTCAGAATGAAAGATATTTTATAGTAACAAGAAGCTACTAGGAGCAAAGGGCATCGCTACGAACAGAGCAAGGACGCTACTAGTAGCTCCTGGCCTTACTAGTAGTAACAAGAAGCTACTAGGAGGGGCTCCTGGCCTTACTA